GGGTTATGCGCATGGTTGGGTAAAAGATAAGGCCCCCTACGTTTCAAAATGCTCCTCCAACTCTGAAAGATGAAATACTTCTCCGAGCAAAACCAAAAATACCTCCACAACTTACTTGTCAATCTAGTGTTGCAATTCGTGCCTGCGGCTCGAGGGAGATTCAGCAGACCACTTGTGACGATGAGGACCACCAGAAAAGGTTTAGAAGCGACAACTGACCAAGAACTGAGTTCCATTATAACACTTCGGCGAGTATAGCTGTGAGTCTTGATCAAGTGGCCTTGAAGAAAGATTGCTCGCTTAACATTGGAAAAGAGTATCATTCTTAAAGTAGTGTAACAGTCTTATTCATTATTGTCATGCTCATAATTCCTTTTTTTAACAGCTGAGTGGTCGAGAAAAATTGCTGACACTCGGGGAACGCCACCTGTAACGGTCAAAATTCGTTGCAGGTTTGTCAAAAACAAAACAAACACTAAACAAAACAACTGAATCGAAGAGCGTTTTTACTTGGGAGCGCACTCATGTACATGTTTTTGCTATGCTATCAAATGTTAGGGGTGGACCAGCTATCGAGCGCATTACGCTGGGCGAAAGGTACCAAGACTCAGTCGAACTGTCTTTTTCTTCTTTCCTTAATTAGTTAGTTTTCCAGCTCACAAGTTTACTTAGCTGACACTGGAGTAAACTTTTCTGGATTGACATTTTATTACATAATTATAATAAAACAAGAAATGGAACCTGGATGACTGTTGCCTTTTTTGAAACTTTATAAGATTCCACATAGAAATTTTTTCCAAATTAAAAGTACATTATTGGTTGTAAAGTTTGACTTTCAGAAAAGAGCGCCGACGATGCCGAAGTCAAGCACTTTTTTTCTCAACGATATTCGTCCTCCCGAGTACATGCACCTTGGTGGTCCTCCACTGTCTACAGTAATTCCACTAGACAGCTTTTTTTTTTAATTGGGATCGACTTGGCCGAGCAGGAAGGTCCAATAGTCCATCCAAACAGCACTTTAATTTTGGGATACATCAGCCGTTTCGCGGAGAATCCAATATTCAAGTTGCGATGTAACCACCAGAAGGCCACGAGGCAAACCTGACAAATTGCTATGAACGAGGGTGTGAGAAAATGGCAAACTCTAGGTAGGCAAGCCAGCGTTTCGAGGCTGTTAAGAAGTGCGAGCTACAGGGCGCCATCTTCAGGTTGAAGACAGTTTGGAGACCCATCCAGTGGCAAGAAGAATTTTAAGGAAACGAATGTCGGAAAACAGTATCGCATTTCTGTGATCGAGTAATTTTTAAAGTCCTGATCGTGCTTTCTTGTCGAATTCATGAGAAACGAAATCCTTAAACACGTGACGATAATCTTTGCAAAACAACTCTTTGAATGTAGAACCGTCTTCACAGAAATCACATGATTTTTCATATTTTTGTAATATAGTTACCAAACTTGGATACGCTGTAACGGAAGTCCACATTGCGTGATGAAAACAATTTGCATGTGTGGAATTTAGTCAAGTTTAAGACAATGACAAAATTATTCGCGTTGCTTTTCTTTCTTTTAATTATTTGTTCAGCGTAAAACGTCGATCTTGAACAGTTTTGTCCGGTGCAGTTCGTTTAAGTTGACTTCATTCTGTGCAATGTGATAGGCTCCCACACTTTAATTCGTAATGGAGGTTTCTCGGTGATTTCTGCTGATAAACACTCACTTCAACTTTGGAATTCTGTCTCTACACTTCTGCACACTGTCTGCATTCTTTGCATTTCTCTGCTCTGCTCTCTGCTCACTGTCTATTATTCTAAGTAAGCTCTGAAGAACATCCCTATAAATTCACGGTTGATAGAAACTGGTCAGCATGCCAGCTGGCTGCAATTTCATGAGATTATCGAAATCAACTTTCGGTCAGGTAAATCAACATCTGACTGCGTTAGCCAAAAAAAGAACTTCATGTGGGTCCTAAGCAAGGTCAGTGGACAAGTTAAGCACGTCCACTTGTGAAAGATAGGCAAGACTGTCACGATTCGGAAACTCGTTTCTTCAGCTCAAACCTAAATAAACTTCGGAATTTGAATTCATACTGTAACAGTAAACTACATTCTAAATATAAACAAATGACCAAATCATACTTAAGCGAGTAACTAACTGACTAACGAATTATAAACGAACTAAATACTTCATAACATTTTGAAGAACACCGATCACAATTTCTTTTGAGTTGTTAAATACTTGGTAAACAACGCACAATCAGATTAAAAGATGAATGGGTCATTTCGAAAATTTTGGCATGCCTCCATTTTTAGTCATTCTAATGATTCCATGTTAGGTTTCAAGATTACTACAGGGTCTTTTACTACAGACTGAGGAACAAAATACGAACCAGGTAAGAACTGAAGAATTATCAAAGCGAAGAAAGCATAGTGTTGGTTAAGAGGTAAGAATTTTTCAGCTCTACTAAAGTTGAATTCAGGATGTAAGGCTGTAGCCAGACTTCAGGACAAGACGAGGCAATTTTCGAGCGCCGAAGGCGCGAGCCACTAGGGGGGTCTGGGGGCATGCCCCCCAGAAAATTTTGAAATGTAGAGGTTCAGAAATGGTCTTTTAAGGATTTTTCGTGGCATTTTTCTTCAGAAAAGTCAATCTTCAAGAGAAAAAATTTAAAAAAAGGCCAAAATCAAGACGTGGCAATTGCCCCGTCTTGCCTCATGCTAGCTACGGCCCTGGGATGATACACTAGGTAGAAAGAGATGGAGTTGAAATACGATTGTGGCGTGTGAACTAGGCACTTACCTTGACTAACCTTCGAGCTCTGAGCACTTATTGATGAAACAGCTTTGAAACACTGTTTTGATGCTCCAACCTGCGAAAAACAGGATTTTTCTGGACGTGGGAGTAGAACGCCTTAAGAAATCTAAGTATTCCTTTAAGTCAATACGGTGATTAAACCGACAGGCAGCTTTTTCAGCCGTCAACAGTATACCACCCAGATAACAACTGAATGCTCCTCACGTGGTCCTGTGGTGTTTATCAATTCCAAATTGTAGCTTGTTCTTTAAAATCTGGGCTCACTCAGATATTCTACGAGGCAATTTTCGATGTAGTCTTGAGCAAAGGTGAGTATGCTGGATTGGTCACACTTTTAACTTAGGCAAAAAATAACAGATAAAGAAGTGTCAAGAGGAAGATCATTAACAGTCCTCCGCAGTAGTCTGTGGGCGTGCGAGCGTGCGAGCGTGCGAGCGTGCGAGCGTGCCCTTTTCGTTCCCAACGTGGCATTAGCTAAGAGTGACATATGAAACCTGTAAACTGGGTGCCCTGACACTTCAGTAATCTCATGATCCTTAACAAACAAAGTAATCAAATTTTTTTTAGATGAATTTAGTCAAATTTTCTAACCTAATCAAATTGGGAGCCGTAAGAAGATATGAGTCGGTTCACTTCTTCTGCAATGGTTCGCTTGTCAGAAATTCGACCACGTACTCAAAGGGTCTTTACTCAAGACTTTTTGCCTAATCAAACTTAACTGATTCTTCTTACTTATTGATAGAAACCAAACGGATGTTTACATGTTCTTTTACGTAGGAAGCTTTCTGTTATGACAACCAAAACAATCATTAAAGAAGGTTATGTTGACATAGCCAACATTTTCTCCCTCTAAATTTATTCAGCTCTCTGCTATGGAGATAGGAGAATATCGACGGAATTTGGAGCTCTCAAATGCAAGGGTCACAGAGACCGTGATTGTAAAACACTAAATCGCAGACGGTTTATTCGTCCTTATCCGAGAAGACTAGAACATCTATCCTTTTTTTGATGTAATATAAAGGTAGCAAATTCTCCTCAGTTGTTTTAAGACCCTGAGTGTTGGTCCGGCCGGGGCTTGAAGCCTCGCCCTCCCGCACAACAGTCCGGCGCTCTACCAATTGAGCTAAGTGATTCATAATGAGAAATGAATTTGTAAATAAAGCAAATTAAGAAATGCGTGTAACAGATTTGAACTGATCTTGGGAACCCGCGATAGCTCAGGTATGGAACTCCGGAAGTTTCTTTTGACGACTTTGAATCTGGCATCCTCTGAACGTAATCAACTTTTCATAATAAGCAAATATAAGTCCGGATAGCTTAGTACACATGTGGGCTAATTATAAGAATTAACCCACTCTTTGCTCGCAGGATTTAGCAGACATTTATCGCCTGAGGAATATTCAATCCTCTATTCCTCTTCTCCGCAAGGACTTGACATTAAACAGTGGTGGAGGACTTTTATCCCTCATTATAATCGGGATTCAGGACTCTGATTCCAACCCTTCCGTTTCGGACGGAAACCCCCCGTTTTCGGAGATCGTTTCCGGCCTCCCGTTTTATCCACGTGCTCTTCCCCCTCCCTTTCTGTTTTTTTTTTTTAACTTTCCTGTAACAAAGAGAGATTTTTCCCCTTTACTAACAGTATTTTTAGCATGGTCTTTTCATGCTCGTTTGTGTTTCCCCGGTATTTCCTTTTGGACATCTACGCGCGAGCCTGCGGTTTCCTGAGCGCAATATTGCGGCATAAGATCAAGTAAATACCGTTGCCAAAAATGCAGCAGAAACCAGCTTTAACTGTATCCAGTTTAACAGGTTATCCAAGATAGTTTTCCACACACCAGGATCTCGAGATACAGGAAGTAGCAATTTAGAGGCCCTCCTTAGAGGCTTGCGTCCTTGGCCCTTGTGGTTCTCGCAAAAATTGGTCTTTCAGCTCGAATTGCTCGCAAAAATTACACGGGTGTTTGCTTGCTCGTGCTCGCAAAATTTTTGCAATTGCTCGCATGCTCGCATTCTCGTTAACATGTGCTCGATTGCTCGAAATTTCGTTAATCCTGCTTCGTAATTATTTATATTCATATCGGTGACTTTCACCCACGTGACACCACACTTGACAACGGTTGCTAACCGCCATCTTTGTGCCCCTTCAAAGGTAAACAATGATAGTAGATGTAGAAGAAGTGTGAGATATGGTGCATTGTATAGTCGTTGGTTGCGGTTCTAAAAACGGAAAACATAAAGGAAAATTTCATTGTATACCGAAGATTATTTCAAATCAAGGAGAAGAACACGAAGAGCTAACCAGAGAGCGAAGAACTCGTTGGATTTCTGCAGTTAGTCGAGGCGATACCAAGGAAAAGAGAGTGCTCGAGAGCGAACGCGTTTGCAGTCTACACTTTGTTTCAGGCAAAGCCGCTGCTGTTTGGGACAAATACAATGTTGACTGGGTGCCAACTGTAAACCTAGGCAAGCCGAAAGATTTACAGAGAAGCAAGGAGAAAGATCTACAAAGAGAAGCAGTGGAATGTAGGGCCGAACGAGCAAAAGATCGAAGGAAACGTTCTTTGGAGCGCCAAGAAATGGAAGCGGCTAAGAAAAGAAAGGAGCTAGATAAAAGCGGATCAATTGTTCAGAAAATTGATTTTTGTATTGACGATTCATCTACTGGTAAGTTACTTTGCTCTGAGCCTTCTTGCAGTAAAGATTTTTATGATGGCGAATGTGAGACGGTCGGGGAGACAACCTTACATATGGTCGAAAACTCAACGTCCACAGAGGACTTTGAAATAGTTTGCGAAGGCTCATCAAATACCGACACACAGATTAATGAATTCAACTACATGTTTACAAGCTCTGTTTATCGAGCTCCAGACGAAGGATTTTTTGATTCTTCGGATAAAATCCGTTTTTATACTGGATTACCCTCCTATGAAGTACTTATGGTAGTGTTTGAACATGTAGCTCCCCACGTTGCACGAAAACATGGCTCTACAATCTTAAGTAGCTTCCAAGAATTTGTTATGGTTTTAATGAAGCTTCGTTTGGATATGCCATTCCAAGATTTAGCATACCGCTTTGTTGTGTCCCTTTCAAGTGTTTCAAGGATATTTACTTCCTGGATAGTTGCCATGGACTCCAGACTTTCTTGTTTTATTTATTGGCCTAATAGAGACCAGTTATGGAAAACCATGCCAACGTGTTTTCAGTACACATTCGGACAAAAAGTGACTGTGATAATAGACTGCTTTGAAGTTTTTATTGAAAAGCCATCGAATCTACTGGCTCGAGCTCAAACATTCAGCTCATACAAGCACCACAATACCATCAAGGTACTCATAGGTATAACACCCCAAGGAACAATATCATTTGTTTCTCAAGCTTGGGGTGGACGAACATCAGATAAGTTCATTGCAGAGAACTGTGGTATTTTAGACAAGCTAGTTCCTGGAGACACAGTAATAGCAGATAGAGGTTTCACGATTTCTGAAAGCGTGGGATTAAAAAGTGGGAAGCTTGTCATTCCTGCTTTTACAAAAGGAAAGGCCCAACTAGATCCAGTTGATGTAGAAAGATCAAGAGGAATAGCTAGTGTCAGGATTCACGTTGAGAGAGTGATAGGGTTGCTGCGACGAAAGTATACCATATTGGAAGGTACACTACCTACAAAATTTTTAAGTAGCACACAGAGCCAGGAACCTCTAATTGACTGTATATTAAGAGTTTGTTCAGCCCTTGTCAATTGTTGCCCATGTATTGTACCATTAGATTGACTTGACAATGAAAGCAATGATTGGAGGACAAGATACTCATATATTCATTTTTTTAATACAAATCCTTGTTTGCTAATGTTATGATTAAATTACTGTCAAATAAAAATAAATGTGTGTGTTTTAATGAATTGACTGAACAAATGTCTTAAACATGTATTTGTAATATATAAGATTTACTAATTGTTCCGAAACTAAAGGGGGAAGTGACAATAAGTACATTTATTGCAAAGAAGCTACGGCATATTTATGTTTTCACCTAATTAGTACAAGTACTGTACCTAGATATACATGTGGACATTACTATCAAAACTCTATATTGACTGAACATGTGTTTAACAATAATTTGTACACTTGTGTCAAATGCAACGTAGAATTACAATATGTGACAATTGTTTTCCTACTATTCTGTATGGCAACCAAACATCAGAAAAAAATCACAAGACATTCTTGCCTTTGCAGTAAATGGCACAATGTTATAAATTAGCTATTGTTATTAGCTCTGTTACTAAATAAATGGAAACATGCTTATCCTGCCACTTTTGAAACAAGCTAACAAATGGGAGCGCATTCTTGGAACATCAAAAGTAACATGGCTGGGGTTTGTAGCAAAAGCTAGACATGTTGCAAAGGCAACAGAAAACACACCACAATCACTGCCATTATTTTGTTGCTGCACAGGTAAAGAATTAAGACTGATCAAATTCCCACCTAGTAGGTCATTTGTCTGTTCCTCAATCTCTTGGCAAATGGCATGATGAAATAAGCTATCATAGAGGTTAACTATGCCAGGGGTACATCCTATTGAGCTTACACAAACCCAGTGATCACTTCCAGTGTGTAAGATTTGAATAAATTCACCAGACTCTACATCGAAGTTTCTAACTCTACCCAAAATTGGGCGCTGAAAACCCCCAATTGATTGATTTTCTTGTTTTATGAGGACATGAGCATGCTGAATAATGTCCCCAGTAAGCCATCCAGTAGGATCTTTGATAATGTTATAGTCTGAGCTGTCTAACCTCTTAAGAGCACTGAATTTGTTGATAGAGCCAGTTGACACTTTCGTAATCTCAATATCACTGTCATCATCATCATTATCGTCTGATAAGTTTGAAGCAACAGGTGACTCAGGTAATGAAGAAGCAGAAGTGGTAGTAGTGGTTTTCTTTCCACTGCAATCAGGACACAACCAGGTTGTTTTGGAATTGTTAGGCAGTCTTTTCAATCCCAAGCACCACAAATGAAAAAAATGCCCATTTTTACAGGTAGTGTTGTGGCACTCAACCAGCCTATCTATAGTGGATGCCTTGCCATTACAAACACAAATAGTATTATATTTCATTGCAGCTTGATGGATTGTAGATTGCACTTTTTGGTTTGAGGCTTTCTTTCCTTTCTGATACTGTGAAAGCTTACAGCAATGAGGACAGTACCATTTCTT